CAAACCCAAATAAAACATATCATTTTTTGAAATAATCTCTTATCTTGACCAGCATTCGGCTACAATGTTGGCTTTATACCCACTTCTGAAAGCTATAGAAATACATATCATAATTGTTTACGATGTTTCATCATGAGTATCGCGGAAAAAATGTAAATTTCATCTAATTTATAACCATTAAAATAGTTGAAGATGTTTCATCATAAGTATGAAATGGCATAATTATGTCACATGATAGCCCATTTTGATGGAAGGGGTGGAGGGCATACAAGTATATGATGTACAGGAGTTTACTATGACTACCAATGTAAGGGGTACATTGAGGAAATTTTGATCGTTTACTATTTATTTTCCATAAAAAATGTAAATCAATATAGAGAAGCAAGCTTCTGCTAAGTAGTAGAAATAATCTGATTCATGTATTACCTCAAGACAAAATAAATAAACTTCTGCAAACAATTAGAATTGAGAAAACAATATTACGTGTATACATATGGTATAGGTTTACCTGTTTCGCCAATTCAAAGTTTCGAAACTTCGCATAGGCATTAATGAATGACATGTAGACATATTTTGTTTTCTCAATTCTTCCAAGCTTCATTTCATTGTGATACTGCAAAAATGATTCAAATATTTACATCTCAGCCAAAGTTCATCTATCAGTATCTGTAATTAGCAAATAACAACAAAAGAATTTGAATTCCAAAAATAAGTTGTGAAAATAAAATCATAAGAAAAGAACACATCTTCTGATCAGCACCATCCATGCACTAAGGGGTAGTAGAAAAGAAAAACATGATATAATTTTTAAAATAAATTTATTATACTTAAAGTGAATAATCTAGGTACAGAAATCTTAAAATTAGAGACTTCTATTTCTAAAGCAAAGCAAACATACATGGTAACTGAATTGAATGAAATAAAAATAGCAAATATCACTAGATATAGGGCTAAACTAGTGGAATTGTTTCCAAGCACCTAGCTGTAGCTTACTTATCGGAGTACTGTTAGCAAACATTGCAAAAAGCTCATCATACTAAGTTTCACATGAGTGTCAGCAATCAGGTGCTGAATCGAAGTGGTCTCTTTTGTTGGTTATTCTAACAATACATACATTCTTATGGAGAATAAGAGTCAGGTATGTCTGCTACCATAGTGTGCTAACAGGAAGAAGAGAAGCAACAGTCATGAAAACTATGACAAAATAACTTTCTACCACTGTAATGACTCAAAGGTTCTACTTCTACCTCTCAATGTAACCTATTGGATGCCTAAACAAAATAAGCATGCATGACCAAACAGTTAAAGCGTAGGAATATAAAGGAAAAGAAAATTCTGAAAACACCTCAAGAGTGCTTATCATGTTATATCCCTAATTTCCCTGCACAAAAGCAATATTTGCAATCAACTTCATAGCATTTCTCTTAACCGCCTCAGGGCTTCCACCTCCCAATGTAAACTTTTGGATTTGTGAACAAATATATTCTTATATAACCGTTGAAAACTTAAAATGAAAGCTTAAAGCTATAAAAGGAAAAGAAAATGGAAGTTTTGGAAACGAGCCCCTATCAATTAGCTTATTTTGACATTAGCTCAATATAAGTCTCTAGGAATGTTGGGCCAACTGATTATAGGTCCCCTTGAAGAAGTAGTTCACAAATTGTTTACATGGTCCCAGGGACATAATGAGTGGGCCCCGTCTTTATAGGGACCTGTATCACCTATCAAATTCATGATCTATAATAATCTGCATTTGGTTACCTGCCAAAATGCAAATAAGGAAAAAAAATCTAACAATATACAAAAGGACTAGCATTTCTTGAATTCATAGATCGTCTATATTCTGACAGCAATTGTTAAAAATAATACAACAAGTACATGAAAACTTATGCGAGACCACCCAGCGACTTTGGTTTTAATTTTATTTTTATAATCAACATTGTCCCAATTTTCTTTCAGGCAATTGGCTGCAGAGTAATATATCACTTCCAGTGGGAAGGCATGTCCTACTAGCTTGGTTCTATTGCCTGACCCTGATGTACACATTTATTTATATGTTCCAATGTGATAGCATGTAGATAGGACATCCGGCCTGGCCAGGCCCGGATTTCCGGGTCCAGGCCGGGCAAAATACCAAGCCCGGACCCGGACCCAGGGTTCCCGGGCCTGGTCCGGGTCGGGACCAAACCGGGCCGGGCCCCAAGCCAGCCCGAATTTTTTTGTATTTTTTATTTTGTATTTTTTTTTTTTTTGCTAAAATTTGATTAAAAATTAGATTAATCTTATTATATTTATATATGTATTAGTATATACTTATATATTAGTATATGGCTATATATTATATGTAAGTATATATAATTTCTTTGGGTTATTGGGTTGGGTCTTTGTTTTCAAGTGCGTTTATGTGAAGAGAGTTTCACAAGAGGAGGAGATTAATTTAATTTCTTGAGCCTCAATTTCACATCTCCATCACTCTTGTTTGCAGAGAAGTTTTACTAAACTCAATCTCTAGCTTTATATATGTTTATTGTTGATTATTTTTTTAAGCTAGATTATAAATTGAGTTTACATTTCATTTTACTCATTGATTGCACACACAACCTATTGAGCTTTTAAGCTAGATTATAAATTGAGTTTACATTTCATTTTACTCATTGATTGCACACACAACCTATTGAGCTTTTAGTATTTCATATTAAGTATCATTTCATTTTACTCATTGATTGCACACACAACCTATTGAGCTTTTAGTATTTCATATTAAGTATAATTTTGGTTGTGGTGAGTGATAAATTAAGTGTGGGCTTAATTTAGTTCTCGTATTGTTTAGAGAAAAAATTATCTTTACTTGTACTAAATTGTTGAGAATACATTGTAATACACAATGACACTTAGAGAAGTGGTTGGTGAAAAACGAGGTTAATTCCAAGAGGAGTGACGTCGGTAGTAAATCATAGGGGGAGGTTGTTATTCCGAACACTTGAGAAAAGGTGACACGAGCTAGGCCAACACTTAGAGAAGTGTGTTGTGTGATTGCAATTGTGAGAGTTGTAAAAATTTTTGGTGAACTTGGAAAACCGATTGTGTAGTTGATTTATTTGAGATAGTGGAGATTCTCCTCGAGGGTGAGGAGCGGAGACGTAGGCCGTGGGTCAACCGAACTCCGTGATCAATTTCTTTGTTTGCGTTTGTTGCTCTTATTGTTCATATCTTATACTCCTTGTTTATATCACTCATTGTTTAAATTGTATATCCTTGCATATCTCATTGTATATCACTTTGTTATGATATATTAGTTAATAAGTTTTAATTTGGCATTGAAATCAGATTATATTAGCAAAATACTCTATTCACCACTCCCCCCCCCCCGGGTACTTTCAGGTAGACCATCCATCTAACTTCATCCATATTTAAAAAATATGAAGATCTGGAATCAATGATAAACTGTTAGGACCATGTCTGTATAATTGACTTAGTTTGACAAGTAACAAACCTTCATTTGGTTCTAATATGTGTTTGAGATGTTTTGTGCAAGTTACAACAAGTTAGAATCGAGATTGAGGTCAAAAGGAGCGAGAATCAGCTCAACAACAATTTCTACAAAGATAATCATCAATGAGGCTGCTTCCAGGCGCATCAATTGTAAAGCATCATCGATGAGAGAACAGTCCAGAGAGCAATTTTGCAAAGATACTCATTGATGAGTATCCTTGCTCATAGATGAGTATGTCATCAGGGTCATCGATTGTAATTCTTTATCGATACGGAAAAAGTCCACAGACTTTCTCCATGAAAAACTCATCGATCAGAATGCATACTGATGTGAAACAATGTGAATGCAGGTGCAAGATCAGCGACAGCAATGCTTCACCAAATCAGCGATCAATTTAGGCAGGAAGCTCAAGAATAAAATGAAGCGAACGATGGTTTTTAAGCAAAAGTTGCAATGTACTAAGTTTGAACCTTTGTAAAATTATTCTGATAAATAATGTAATGATTTGTTCTCTTAATACAGTTCAATTTGTAATATTTAGATAAGCAAAAAATACTCAGCAACAGAATCACTCGCTAACTATTCAAACTGATACAGCATAATTGCAATTGATACTAAGATTGAGAATAACATGCACGCAATAGCAATTCCGAAGATACTTGGGCGTAAGAAAACTAAACCTTCGTCGGGTTGGACTGGTTCGATGGGAGGATCCTCTGGAGGCGGTGTAAAAACTCCAAATGTGAGTGGCGGGAGTTCTCCTCCAAGAGCTACGTAATTGGGATGAAGTGGCGTAAAAATGATGTGAAACAATGTGAATGCAGGTGCAAGATCAGCGACAACAATGTTTCACCAAATCAGCGATCAATCTAGGCAGGAAGCTCAAGAATAAAATGAAGCGAACGATGGTTTTTAAGCAAAAGTTGCAATGTACTAAGTTTGAACCTTTGTAAAATTATTCTGATAATTAATGTAATGATTTGTTCTCTTAATACAGTTCAATTTGTAATATTTAGATAAGCAGAAATACTCAGCAACAGAATCACTCGCTCACTATTCAAACTGATACAGCATAATCGCAATTGATACTAAGATTGAGAATAACATGCACGCAATAGCAATTCCGAAAATACTTGGGCGTAAGAAAATTAAACCTTCGTCGGGTTGGACTGGTTCGATGGGAGGATCCTCTGGAGGCGGTGTAAAAACTCCAAATGTGAGTGGCGGGAGTTCTCCTCCAAGAGCTACGTAATTGGGATGAAGCGGCGTATCTGGATGAAAACGTCGGTGCCAAGAACTAATGCCCAAACTGCTCTCCACACTGTCTACAAGCTGATGAGTCACGCGTTCGACGTACAGGAACACTCTCGGACGTCCTGTAATCGAACCACGAGGAAAGCTGCAAATCAACAATACCAGTCTCTGGATCAAGCACGAGGTCGTTATCTTCAGCGTCAGGGTCAGCCATACACCAATGGATCACGACTCAAATTTTAGATCACACTTAACCCAAACCGAACCAAACTCAATGAACCAAACTAGACCAGATCCAAAATATATATAGTGATCGGGTCTGTTCAAAGACCTAGGCCCAAAACCCTGTTCGGTTCAACTCCGATCAGAGGAGAAGCTTGCGTTGGCGGCTCGAGGACGAGGAACGGCAACGATCTTCGTCGGGTAGGGCGACGACGGGCGGGTCTGGGACGCGGTAGCGGCGGCGCTGTCGGAAGTGACGATCTTCGTCGGGTAGGGCGACGACGGGCGGGTCTGGGACGCGGTAGCGGCGGCGCTGTCGGAAGTGAAGGAGGAGGGGAAGTTCGACTGTGGTTGTCGAGCGGCGAAGGCTGAGGGCGGCGATTAGGGTTTCGAGACTCGGATGGAGGTGCAGGCGGCGCTGGAGGTGCTCGTCGACGGGGATGATGGCGGCGACTAGGGCTTCAGGGGCTGCTTCGAACTTGAGAGGAAAACGAGGGCAGACGATCGATTGGGGAGGGGCGGCGGAGTTGGGCGGCTATTCGAGGGGAAGCGGCGGCTGCTTGAACAGGAAGAGGGAGCGACGATCTAGGGTTTCACACCCACGTTTCACACGTTCAAGCCACGGGTAATTTCAACTAAATCTCAATAATTTTCATTGATTTCTTAATTCTGATTACAACTGTTTATATAGAGAATATTACAGAATTTAAAAACTCAATCAAATCTCTCTAAATCTTATCCAATAACAAACTACATAACTAATAACAATTCTAATCTAAAACCAACTACTAAACTGAAAAATAACTAAAAAAATCTAAATATCAGAACCATATCCCTGCGATCTGATGTGCGGCTGGAATACGTCGTCTCCTACGCTGATAAACACGGCGAAAGTCCCATGCACGTGCCTGGATGTCCTCATCACATACTCATCGATGAAACATGCTCATCAATGAGATTAGAGCTGTTAGATTTGAATCAAAGGTTAACCACAGTCGTTCGTTGCAGCTGAGTATAGGGATCTCCTCTCTCATTTTCATAAAGTTTTCTGACATAATTGAGAGAAAAACAAAGAAAGCAGGAGAGGGAGAGGGAGAGAGAGAGAGAGAGAGATCTAGGGTTCAAAGTTTTGTCCATCTCCCTCAGTCTTCTTAGCTTGCATCCTTGTTGTTTTCTTCATCAGGTGATCATCAATCTTCGAGTGCTGCCCTTGGACTTCATCACTAACATCGTTCTTCCAGATCTTCAATCCGAATCTTTCATCGAACAGTTTACTACAAAAGGGCTTTAAGATCTTGCTAGTTGTGCTTAAACAATATTGTTATCTATAACAATTTTTTCTACGATCGTGTGACAGGTTGGTTTGTACGGCATACTCAAGCCGGTGCTAATTGAGGAATTGGGGATACTAGACAGGTCTAAGGTTACACTTGTATGGTAGGATCTTTGGCAAAGACGACTAGAATAGGGTGAATCTAGTGTACACTCTTGTAGCTACTCACTGGATTGGGTTGTGATCCATGAATTTCTTCATAGGAAACCCATCTTGACGAGGAGGAAGAGTGGATGTAGGATTTATCTGAACCACTATAAAAACCTCGCGTGTTTGTGGTTGTGGTTGTTTGCTCTTTACTTTTATTTATTTCCGCTGCATGATTCTGTGATTATTTGTAGTTCTCGAAAAAAGCTTGCAACCATACCCCCCCACCCCCACCCCCCACCCCCAAATAAAAAAGTCCAGGTCTGCATCTAGATCCTAACATAAACTGTACTGACGTGCATGCCCAAGTCTAGAAGAATGCCTGCAGATATATGTTGCCAAAATAAAACACTATGTCTCATGATATATCATCCAACATGTCTAAAGATTAAAATGATTGTATAAAGATAGTGAAGGAGATAAGGAGCTCACCCACGACAAATGTTATCCCTGAACGGAGATAAGGAAAATAAAGTGGACAGACCAAAACTGGAGACTAATTAATATAAGGATGGCTGACAAACCTTGAAAACATCCTCTTGACGTTCACAATTAGCTATCAAGTAAGAATAAGTCTCAGAATCTGGTTGTACATCAGCATGTTCCATTTGCTTGAGAACCATTAAAGCTCCAGCAAAGTTTTTCTGCACAACATTAAGTTAAAGAGTTTAGATTAACCATTATAGTAGAAAACATGTCAACAAAGATTTTTTATTATAAGCAACCATTAAGTAGCAGCATGGGGGAGTTACAAATTCCACTGTCATCACCAAGTCATTATGCTAAGATTACGTAAACAAAACTATGATGCTCATAATGATGGATTGACTTCAACCTGGCATGTAGATCATTGACAAGGCTATCATCTCACATGTGAGGTTACTAACCAAAAACTACAGCAATACCATCACAATGGCAAACTTAAAGGACAACAAATGGGATTTAATTTATACCCTATTCAAACCCCAACCCCACCCCCAAAGGCTGGCATGTTGACTTTAGAATCATTAAAGTTTAGAACCATATCAGAAGCAATCTTTTGATTCTTGCTAATAATTTTTAGTGCTTTGCTTGTTTTACTAATTTCCCCCGAAAGGTGTCACCGCCTAACCAGGGTAGATAATTTGCTTTTCACTTGCCAATTAGGACAAGGGTAACACATACTATATCTAGGCTAAGGGTAAGGGCACCTTACCCGTCAGTATTTGCCATTCTTATGTGGACAACCGGTGCCTTCTACCTGGAACTTACTTGCAATATTTTTCGTGTGGGAGAGCAACGCATAGAAAAAAGTTCACTGGTATCTGCATATAGCTTCTGTTTGTGCTCCTATAGCTAATGTCATTTGCATGGCACTAATTCTCAGGGATGCATAATCACAGCCAAGAAAACAATATGAGGATCTTGATCATATGAACTACAGCATTATTACACAATAATTTGGCTTTAACATGACATCCAGGCACTAAAAGAACGTTCCGCGTAAAAGGACTGAAAGTGCATCAATAGAAGTTTGCATAAATACAGTGTGATGTACATCATCATGAAAATTATAGTCAAGAGAACATGATAAAGGATGAAATCCATCGAGAGCGAGCATTAATTAGTCAAAAAGTTAATAAAACAGATTGAAACACTTGCCCCCCTACAATATCCAGCCATAATAGCATTATACATTCTTGTGGTTGGCACCCCTTCTATCTCTTTTGCATCTGCTAATAAGTTGTAGGCACCTTCAAACTGCACAATGAACAAAGCAACAAGCATCAACATACAGTGATATTTAGATGGTGTACACTGAGATCCACAAGTAAATACAAAACCTACTAACCCGATCACATTTTAGCAGTCTCCAGATAAAAAACACTTCACGCAAAATAAAACTTGATACAGTAGCATGGATATGCAGTAGTTTAAACAAAGAAATGCTCAAAAAGAAATATGTTGCATTTACGGTCAGTTCTGAAGTAACAACATCTAATGAAATAACCACCAAAAGAAGAGAAACAACTCCTCAACCATTCAAAATAATAAAATAATAATAATAATGACTGTTTGAAGTAAACAGGAAGAGCAATTACTTGGTGAAAATGGTTGCTATAGATCAAAAGTGAACAAGCAATGAACTGGGAGACGTATGTAGAAAGTACAATGTCGATATCATGCTTATTACAATCAACCAAGACACAAGGAGAAAGTTGGCAGGAAATTAGTAACAATAAGCTTGTATATGTAGAAGTACCAAAAATTAAAAGCAATACTTGTCGACATGTCTACTGGAGGGTAAACTTTTACAATAGATGAGAGGCAGACTAGCAAAGCAACCAACCTTTTGGCCAGACAAAAGGGTTCTTATAGTCAAGCAACTATATACCTGAAGTCGAACTGGAAAAGAAGACAGTTCTAATAGTGTTTGATCAAGTGGGTTAGCTTTAACTATGGTATTGCAAGTGGCAGAGCAAACAGCACAAGGAAGAACAAAAACGCACAATGTGCTGTGGCAAGAGAAAGAAGACGTCGGTTTAAGCTAAATATCAAAAGATTTCATGAAGAGAGAATGAGAGAAAACATCTAATACATGTCTGAGGAGTGATTGTGATAAAAAAGATAAAAACATTCACATATCCATTTTACTCTTAAAAAGGAGGGAAATGGTATTACCTAAACAGACTGTGAACAAAGAATGTACGCAATGCCTTCTTACATTAAATTCACACACTGTGAAAGATGATAGAAATTTCAACGATGAAGATTGATAGGATGGTAAAAAGATTACATATGTAGTAAGTAGTAACTACACGAAAGTTTTTCTACAACTAGTAGCAAGGGTAACATGGGGCAAGGACATGGAGATGAATAAGTTTCTTAAAGAAATTGAGGGAAGCACCCATAAGGATAGCAGGAAAAGGTCCTGCATTGAGGAACGACAAGAAGATAAATACCAACAAGGACTTCAGATTCATGAGACAACAGGCCCACAAGACATTTATCTACCAGTGTATGATAGGTAGACAAGTAATGTGAACAGGAGAAGTAAAGTAGGCATGTCTTGCAATGACATTTGTTGATAAATGGGACAACGAGAAAGTCCAGAGACACTTATGTGCTGTTAAACAACAAACATTTTCAGTATATACACTTCACACGTGTGGAAAACAGAAGGAGACAAAAGCAGGTACTTCCAACATCATGATGAATCTAACCAGCAACATCAAACTCCTTACCTTCACTGCCCAACTGACTGATTGGTGCAGGTCCACTCCATATGAATGCGAATGCATGCATATAGAACTTAATGATAATATCCATGCACATACAAAAATAGATGAAAATTTTTCAATGTAATTATCAAAATATGAATATAAGCATTTATGTTAAACTATAAACTTGGCAAAGAATTTCACTTCCAATAAAACTACATCTGATCAAGGTAATTTTACTACCAATATGCAATTGAAATAAAACATAAATACCAAATTGAGTTCTACAACAAGGAAACAACCGCACATGTGAAACTTTTGTGAACAATTATGATCAAACGGAAAAGTTTTATAATTTAATCCTGATCCTTAATCACAAGCTCTTATCATGAACATGGAAGTTAGAATGAAAAATCATAATTCAAAATGAGAAAGTTTCAATAACTTACATCTTTCATTCTCACGCATAAGCTTATCAAGCTCTTGAAAGTCTTTTCTTTTGGTCTCACATTATGTCGGGACATCACTGAATAAATTGGACGAACCTTAATTACAGAAATGATAGAAATCAATTAGAAAGTCTACAAATACACAAAGTTTAACACTTAATCACACAAAAAATTTACAAACTAAAATATTGGCACTGCAGCATAGATCTCTGCTGCAAAGGAAGCAATTACACCCTGTTAGGTAAGGTGGACTTCTTGTTGAATAGAATCAGAATTACAGAAGAAGATAGTTATAAAAGAATGGGCATCCAAAATTACATGGTTAACACTGAAGTACAGAGGAAATAAAAGAAAACATTGATATTTGGGTGACCACAAACTAGTGCATGTTAGGCGGGGCTTGTTATTTGGTAAACACTGCATACAGATGCTACACAAATCAAATACTCTCTATCGGACATCGCAAAATATTCAGAACATACCATGTCAAACTCACAACTTCGCTCGCAGGCATGTAAAAGTGGATCAAAAAAATGATCTGGGATATCCAAGCCCGATTGGCATATAAGTTCAATCACTTCAACGGCAGCACGTATCTGCAATCAGTAGTTATACAAGATCAAGAATGAGACAAAATCAATCCGATACTACGTGAGTAAAACAAATCATAATTTGAATGTCAAGAAGATGTTAAAAAGTATATTAAAAAAATCTTTTATGCCGTTGATTATGTATGTAATCATCTAGTGACCAATCCACTGATCATTGAACTTATAAAAGTCAAGAAGAATTGTGAATCAACAAGGATACAGATTAGGTTCAACCTTACAACAACCATGTACATTCTTTAGTATGTAAAGAAGTACGAAACGAAAGATGGATTCAGAAATCTACCTGAAGAAAATAGAAGCATTATCATTGAAGATCAAGTACAGATTCAAGAAACATTGCTAGAAGTAATTGTTGCAGAAGAGCAATTAGAGTTTAATAGAAACAATGGAGTTAAGTTTATGGGTAAGAGGAAGATAAAAATCAGCAAATCACAAAGCTATTACTTACAACTTTTTTGTTAACTTTGGAGATTCATATTCCAAGAGGAATTGTTTTGTATATAACACAAAGATGATAGGGATTTCCATGGAGGATTTCACATGTGCTAAAAACGAGATTACTAAAAGGCTACTCGTCTTTCAAGCATCTGATAAAAAAGGTGATGTTTGGTCAAAAAGCAAGAAGAACCCTTTGGCCAGACTGTTTGATATAAGTAGACAATCAGTTAAACCAAAACACAAGTACAAGTTCATTTCGAGTGAAGAGAACAGGTGTAGGATAGTTTGTATAGGTTGAGATTGAACTCATTTGAAGTTTTAAATTGTTTAGGAACTGTTTGTTGGAAAATTTGTAGTAAAAGAAATAATGAAAGAATCGTATTTGATTTATTCTCTCTAACTGCTTAGAAAAAGAATGATTACAACTCTCTCAATCTCGATTACAATTGGATTTCCTGATTACAAAAGAGAGGAGAATGAATTTGATTCTCCCCTTTGTTTAAAAGGGGGTTCTTCACGGTGGCGATGGAGTGCTTCCTTCGAATGCTCGCGTCGAATTTGCTCTCCGTTGACGATCCGCACGTCTTGATTCACTAGAACATGGTCTTCTCCTTACGATTTGACGTTGTGAAGAACTTGCGTGACAAGTTTGAAAATAACTCTTAACAAGTTGATAACTCAGAGCGAGTTTTAGAAGGACTTGCAAAGCAAGTTTTGAACTCTGATCGAGTTGATAACTCTGAACGATTTGATAACTCTGAATGAGTTTGAAACTCTATGGAAGAGTTGATTTAACCGAAAGTCGGTTATAAGCCAAGGATGAAGAAGCTCCTATTGCCGATCTCCAAAATCCCAGCCGAAGGATGAAGGCTCCTCTTTGCTGTCAAGCTTCAGATCCAAAAAGTCAAACCCTCCGATCAACCAAGCTAGCTCTTGACCGAATCTCCCTCCGTTGATGAGACAAAACCCCCTTCCTTAACTCAATTGAGTTTCTCATATTTATAGGGGATTAAGGGTGGTAACTGCCCCCTTAATCCGCTCCTAAGTGGGACGGAAATCCCTCAAATCGTGGGGAAAAAACAGTTCCTGGAACTGTTCAGTTCGTGTTTGAACGAGTCCTCAAACGCCTAAATTGGCGTTCTGGACCTTAACTCTGCGTCTTAGAGATGAGACACGGAGTTGGGCGCTCGCTGGGAGTTGGAACGCACAGGCCGCTTGCGTTTCGGACCTTAACTCTGCGTCGTGGAGATGAGACGCAGAGTTGGGCGCTCACTGGGAGTTGAAACGCACAGGCCGTGCTGTTTTAGAGATGAACTCTGCGTTTTAGGCTGAAAACGCAGAGTTGAGCCTGTTTAAAGGCTGAAAACGCACAGTTGTGCTGTTTTAAAGATTAACTCTGCGTTTCTAGATTGAAAACGCAGAGTTGAGCCTGTTTAAAGGCTGAAAACGCACAGTTGTGCTGTTTTAGCGATTAACTCTGCGTTTTGATGTTGAAAACGCAGAGTTGAGCATGTGCGCTTTGACTCTGTAATGCAGAGGCGAACCTTAGGCGGGCTTGGCGAGCTTCAAGCTAAGTCCAATGTTCTGACGAAGTCCGGTCTTGCAGACGGACTTCAGAACATAACTTGCTGCGAAGAACAGGTCATAACTTTCAAACCGTACGTCGGAATTGGACGAATTATATATGAAAATCGGCTATCTCGACGAGACGGAGCCATCCGAACCATGCCAACGGCTTCGGTTCGCTTCCTCCGTTTTGCCAAATTCCTTACGGTTTGAGAGATATCTGCGTTTTAATATGAAGAGACCGTCAATTTGTAGTCTCTTTTGCTAGAGCGTTGCAAAGATCGTCACCTTGTAACCTTCGTCTTGGCTCCTTGAAAATATGAGAGTTATCAGATTGTAACTCCTGATGTTGATTGTGAAGGCTGTTGAATTAGAGCTTTCATCAGTTGTCGTGAAGGTCGTCAGATTGTAACCTTCAGCGATCTACGTGAAAGTCTTCAAATTATGGCATTCTGGAAGTCGTCAGATTGTAACTTCTATCATCGATATTTGATGGGGGATAAGCTATCTATTGTGATTTTTAGACAGCCTACAGGAACCATTTGTCTATCTTGAATTTTTTTTAGAGATTTGCATGTTGATCATTTCCTTTTTGCAACTATGTAAGATTTAATAAATTGCTTGTACTCCATGTATATAAAGGAAGTTTCCTACTTTCAGAAGACTTGGTTATCAATAAGATATGCCCTCGTTTTATATCCTGTGTTCAAGGTTTTCAATGGATTCCAATTATCTCAAGGCTTTCAGTGGAGTCTGATTGCCTCTTGCAGTTAAAAACTTCAGATCCAATCGTCCACACACCAATCATTCACTACATCTAAAAGTTACAAAATAATATTACTACAAAATAATATAGTAATACTATACAAAGAATAAATGAAAGTGAGGAAGGATAAAATTATTTTCGGCTATGTTTGTCACATTTTTGCTTTACTGTATGTAACATTAAGACAAAAAATTAAGCAACGTGTCCATGTTTTTGGACTAGTAGATCCATACCTTGGACGACGTACAACAAATCTTGATAAGCATCTCACATGATACAATAGATGGGCACACCTCAAGTCCCTTATGTAAGTTGCTGAATTTAGATATGATTTCTTCAACCTTTGAAATAGAAGGTTCATTGTCAGGGGAAAACTAATGAAAAAAGAAAGATAAGAAGGGAGCAGCCAATGGACAATCACAAATTTCAAGTGATGAAAAAATAAAATTAAAAACGATAAAAACCATACGACCTAGAGGGGGGCAGAGTCATAAACATTGCATGCACTTTGAATCACATATTTTTGTGTGTTTCACCATTGAAATGAGAAAATGAAAATATTAATACATAAATACATTATTTATTTAAAATTTGTACAAATGATATGTACGCAACCAGATGTTGTCTAACAGATGATGCAAAGGCATATGAATTACTTCCATTGCAATGTTCTCATGCCGAATGATGTCAACCTCTCTCCTGGTTATAAGAAGAAAAAAAGAAGTGTTGGTTTAGACAAATTTTTCGGAGAACAGCATTAGCTTAATGCTAGATTTTTAGGAGTTGCTAGTATTGTATTACGACTTTCTTTTAGATAACTTATATTATCTTCAAAAATGCCGCTCAAACTGCAAGTAGTACAAAACTACATATCCTTACTATCATCCATGCTATTGGACTTAAAGTGCCTAGTTTTAGCACATGTGCAGAATTCATCTTATGCACAAATAACCACTGCTGTGCATTCTCAGTTAAATTCTGTCATGGGTGGGGGAATGCAACCTCCTTAATAATTGTCTTCCATTCTGAATCCCTCCACATAAAGATATTGGTTATTTTGCTTATTACATGCATACATGCATTACAAATATCACAAATCTAGAAATTATATGAGACCAATCCTTGCTACTGAGGTCTGAAGATATTGATCATCCACACTAAGTTTTCTTAGAAAGCTTAACCCGAAGTACTATCTTTTTTATAGTACAACATAACAAAAGTAAGCAATAAGTACTCTTCCATATTTCAATGCTCTCAAAATAATACACCCCAACAAATGTGTGACCCACAAAGTTAAATGATTGTCCAACCACCAAATAAGAATATTATCGTGACGCGGGCAGCGTTCAGCATTTTTGTGTCTCCATAGTTTATAATTTCTGACTTTCTTCCTCTCAATAGATGACCAGGGTCTTCCACATAAAACACACTTATCGATATCTACTGTTGCAGAGGACATCGTCATATATCAGAATGGAATAACTTCAGATATTATCTGTATTCTAGTGATATCTGTTTTTTTAGTAACTAATATTGCAGTAGCATTTATAGGAGAACAGTTGACAATTGAGACCTTGGTCATATTCCTAATTTAAAGCCACGAAAGAGACATGGAGGGCTTAACTTGATGCTTACAAATACCAGCTGTTCCATAGAAGAAAACAGACAAGGGTGTCTTTGGCTTTGGTTTTGCTTAAAGATAATCTCTTTTTAAAAGGATATATCAAACTTAGTTTCTGGGGAAAAGGAAAATCATATTGATAAAGTGTTTGGCAACTTTGGATGTTAAGTTTTTTATAAATTTAAGGGGATTTGTCTTTTAATTCAAAGTTTGATCCCTACTTATTATTTAAAAACCCACTCACTTCCATCAACACTCATACCCTCAAACACTCAAAGTACCTCATAAGGCTTATTTTCAAACCCAACATGTGATTTATTTCTAAACTCAATCTGTAGAATACTCTCAAACTTTACATTGGATCTCCCTAAAAAAATCAAAAAATCCACCTTTCCTCTCTTCTTCTAAACAGCGATCACGCTCCACTCGCACCGCATTAATGGTGATGCAGGGAGAAATTCATTTTCGTGTGTTGCTCCCCTCACTCCCCAAAGTCCAATTTAGTATATTTATCTTCTTCAAAATCTCTCTTTCCTCTATTAATTTCCCCTCTCTTCCTTACAAAATCTCACTCCTCCATTAATATTTCTCTTCATAAAAGACAATTATGATTTTAATGTGATTTCTATTTGCAATCATTAAATATTCTTTTCTGTGGTCCGAGAACCAATAAAGAGCTTTACCACGACGACGAAGAGATACAATTTTGTTATAAGGAGTTAAACTTCTATCTATGGTGCTATACTTTGCTCATAAGAAGCTATGTTTTCGAATACAGTGTCATACTTTGCTCAATAAAAAATTAATAACTTGTAAGCTTTTCATATTTTTCTGTTAGTTAGACCAATGGATATTTAGTCTTCCTCTATTTTCTCCAATAATTTTCTTGACAACATATTACACACTATTAGTTCCTTTCATGTAGTCCCGGAACCAATAAAGAGCTATATTATATGCTATTACCTACTTAGTTTCAGTGGATTTTAAGGATTGACTTCGCCTAGAATTTGGAATCGACTCTTAGGGTTTAACGTTTGTGAAATGAAGGACGAGAGAAAGAGAGAGAAGTGCTAGGTTTATTTGGGAAAGAAGGGAAATTTTGAGATTTGAGAATTTATTTGGAAAATATAGTATAAAGTTTGAGGGTATACTACAAATTTGTGTTTATAAATAAGTTACATGGGGTACATGGGGTACTTTGGGTGTATGGGTGTTTATGGAAGTGAGTGGATTTTTAAATAAGTGGAAATAAAACTTTGTGTTAAAAGACAAAAACCCCTAAATTTAAATATTTGACAGAATTTCATTAGCAAAAGTTCAGGTAAGATAGGTATGCAAGAAAAATTTTAAATAAGTACCATGAAACAGAAGTTGGAAGAGGAAATTCAGATAAAAGTAGAGTCTATAATAGATCTGGAAGAAGAAAAATAGGAGACACAAGATCGCTCTCATGGATGAACAATGCATCGCCAAATTGAGAATCTTATCTTCTCCCAACCACAGTTTTCAATATGCATTTTCCAAAAGCTTTTACATATTGATCTCAGACATCCAAATTTGGCTCAAAAAAACATTTATTAGCTTAAAACTTGTTAAAGCATTGACTATAAGAAATGCCAAACACAGTTCAAAACTTAAGCATAATTACTTGGTAGTTATTCACGCGCACCTCCAGCTGAGTAAAAACATACACAACGATGGCGAATAATTACATGATTGGTGGTTAATCAAAAAATAATACTTTGAAATAGGAACATGTATAAGCAAAGAATAATGTGCTGATAACAAATTTTCAAACATGATAAAGAGATAACAATGTTTTCAACAAGAAATACAGCATCATGAGAAGTTTCTCACCTCTAAATTTGGAATGCTAGAAACATATTCATAGATGAGGGGCGAAACATTCTTTTCTCCGTCTTCTAGGATCACCGTGTAGAAGATATCAATTACCATGTCACATAAGAAGTTCAAAACCACATGATTTTAGAGTTAGTAGTCAGTTGATGGAATAAGAAAAATTACAATTCAATGTAAAATGTTGCAGTAGGAATCTGCTATCAGCAGGCAGACCTGTAAACGGCCCTTACAGATTGATAATAACTGTGCATTTATGTCCAATGTGTTAAGAAGTCAACAGGTCAAGCTATGTTTAACAGGGATACCATGAGACTATATATATTAATGAATGATCACTTATACACTACATAGAGATTGTACATTTTAAATGACAAGCAAATACGATGTAAAGATTTCTCAGCTACACATACAACTAACAGATATCCAACTAGACCTGCAAGTCCACCTACAGACGTGTAAGTAATATAACAACATAATATCCATATCTAATAACTTAGGATTATGCCTAGACATTAGTGATTTCATATAAATTCCAAATTGAGGGTAGTAGATATCCTGGTTGCTACATTTTGAAAAAGTAGAAGGCTTATATATCAAATGCAAAGGTAATTGATAATGGTTTTGAAGGTTAAATTTGGTAAGTAAAAAAAATACAAAAGAAAGAAGAAACCAGTGTATTATATAACCTTAACTAGTTTGCGGTCCGTGCAAAGCACGGTATTTTTTGCTACAGTAATCCCGCTTTTTTAATATGCATGGTTTGAATTTTGGAAGTGCTACAGTATCCCGCTCTGCTACAGTACCTTTAAATGTCACAGTATACATGTTTGCTACAGTAGTGTTTTCAATTAATTATTAGCTACGGTAATCATGCTACGGTAAATGCTATTGTAGCATTAATAGTAGCATGAACAGTGAATCTATGATCCTCCTATTTGTATAAAGGTATTTGTATAAAGGAATAGATACTGCTTCAGCATTAATGTTTTCTTTTCACATATTTTAGTTGTTCTCTCATAAGGCATGGTGCAATTTGATATGATGTATTACGATTGAAATTCTCTTGAAGGGATTTGGATCTAGTGGTGAGGGAAATGAAGTGTAGTCACAACCGGATCAATATTCAATCTTGTTGAAGAATCTGTTCCTGTCTGACAAAACCTTCAGATTCTGACATCAGATAATAGCCAATGCTTTAGAAGAAGGCAAAAGTTCGAGGAAGAAAAAAGGAACTAATAATTCTCATTCATCAATCAATATATTTTTTCTTTCTTTTCTGGTAAATGGAAAAAAAATTATTCACTCACCATGGACAAACATTAGTACAGTCTCATAGCCTCAGGACATTTCCTGGGCTGAAAATTTTGCAAAATAGACCTATTTTGCTAAATATTTAGCAAAATAGGTCTATTTTGCAAATTTCTTCTTCCTGGGCTTTATAATTCATTAACTAGTTTTCATTCGTCAATCAAAATCTGCTTCTTCTTCTTCTTCTTCTTCTTCTTCTTCTTTTTTACATGAATCTTGTTCTTAGTATCTAAGAAAATAATCAATGAGCTCCAACAGCTAAAATCCGAATATTTCAAATAGAGAAAAAAAAATTGAATAAACAAGTATTTCACTATCTAGCTCGAATTGTTACCGATGGTGGCACCCTTCGACTAATACTTGAAAAGGAATCCAGACTTGCATGGGCAAATATACTAGAGAAAATGGAGAATAGGAGGGATGGACATATTCAAATAAAACCCCCAGATACAGTATAAATAAAAGTTTACTCATGATACATTGATCTATAAGCACGTAGAATAATTAACAGTATGACCACATATTTTCCCTTAGATTGTAGTGATTTGAAGGTACTTACCATCCAAAATGTTTATACTTCAGAAATTTTCAAATATCGGTAAAAATTGCGTTTAACAGATTAGCATCATGATTCTGCTAGGTTTCACCGAAACTCCTCAGTATAATATTCTCAGATTTAATTGAACAGCCATTTCACGACAGGTTTTTGAATGCAAAACGTACAATTAAGGTTACAATTTCCTTCAAGTTTCAAAGCGTCCTTTTTCTCATAAACCTACCTTAAAAATCTTTATAGAAATCTACGTATAAGCTTAGCATTTAAATATAAAGGATAAAATTTTCCTCCTATGGCAATGAAAAATCAACATCCCACCCCTTGGTTGGAAGATCAGCACCATTTTTGTTGCTCTCCATGACGTAGAAACTAGATACACCAAAAATCTTGTAATTACCATGATAGTTTAATCTTTCATTGGATGGTTGCAAAATTAACAATTATACTAGAATAAAAAAAATTCAAATCTACTCCTCTATACAAATGGGAGAATCCAAGATTCACTATTCATGCTACGGTAATATTTATTGTGGTATTATTACTGTAGAAAACATAAAGCTGGGCATTATGGTTTTTGAAAAACTGTAGCACACGGGAATACTGTAGAAAACATAAAGCTGGACATTATGGTTTTTGAAAAACTGTAGCACACGGGAATACTGTAGCAGAGGTGGGATACTGTAACAATTCAAAAAATTCAAAAATATAGTAGCAGTTAAAAACGGGCTTACTGTAGCGGAAAAAAATATGCCGTGCTTTGCACGGTGTTCACACTAGTATAAATCTATAAGCAAAGAGTATCAATGAACAAGATTTTTAGTGTATTGAAGTTCCAGGCAAACAGAGTTGATAGCAAGTTAGCAACCATGACAACATCCAATTAAAGGATGACTTTTTGCCGGCAAGGAGAAGCTTTTCCTCCTGTGGTAACTGATACACATTATTCTCAAGTGTGTGTGCTTATATACATGCATATATACCATTAGAATAGGATCTCCAAGGTAAGATCTGACCTTTGGTTCTATCACCCCAAAAGTTAACTCAAAAGGAAGATCCAAACTTTAAACATAATGGAACTCATTTAAATTTCTGAAAGAAAAACACACCGTGTTGATCCTTCTAATTTTGAGCCTAAAATTGCAGTTTTAGTAATGAGTTATAATTCCACATTTTAGAATATTCTAAACACCAATAAATCTGGTGTAGAAGGGCTTCACACTACTTGGATCAAGAGCTATGATTTCGATCGTAATTTAGAAACTTCAAACAATCATTTTGTATGGTGTTTATCATGGTTAAAAGATGCTTAAACCATATAGTTTCTTTTGAAATCCACAATTAAATGTATAGATTAATAATTTTGAGCTTCTAATGTATCCTTTTCAATTAATAGGATTTAGGGTAAAATTCTACCTATAGAATCCGAACACACACACACACACACATGTATGCTGTATATGTTTCTTCGTATCTGTATGTGTATGTGTATGTGTATGTGTTTGTGTATGTATACATATAGACGTATGTGTAAACGCGTATGCATGTAATAGAAAACAAAGGGAGCTTGCGTATGCATGTAATAGAAAATAAAGGGAGTTTGAAAGGGATCCTACTGACACGTTTGAGCTTTGATTCTATCAGACAAAATTATACATAAAGCAATTTAAATCCCTAAATTTAACAAATTAATAAAAGAATTGAAAATAGTAACAAACATGAAAGTGTATATCACGTAAATGTTGAATGGCCTAAGATTCTCTAACATTGTATTATGGGTAATGTTATTTCTCTATGAGCATACACAATGATTTAGCAAGAGAGTATACCTTTATGCATTATAAAATCAGGAAGGTACCAGAGTTTTTGGACTGCTTACCTGAGGTCTTCAGTGCCAAAATGAACTTCTTCATGAGCTTTTCACATTGCAACCTCCCTAACGACCGAAATATACTTGATAAATATTTTAATGATGAAATCGACAATATATCAACCACTTCGAGCAATTGCAGAAGCTCGTCCTTCCTATCAGTATCGCAAAATGCCAATAAATAGCTCACTGCAGCCAGAATAGATACAGGTTAGATACAAGAGTAAATAAAATAAAAATTTAAAGGACTTTTCTAGACAAAAGGTAACAAAGTTTGAAGGATTTCCCAAAAAATTTCCATGATAAACCTAATATTCTGTGAATTTGATTCACTAAAACATGGCAGACAGAAAAATTTAGCAGAGAAGCACTTTAAATATATACAGGACACTAGATGGAATGTTGTTCACTGCTTGTAGAAAAGAACTAAATGTATTCGCTTAGATAATAAATCAAAGCATTGAAAACAAAGTCTATTGTCAAGGTTGGACGAATTGGCACAAGACTAAATACAGAAACCTACTGCACATGTTTGCCTCCAGCTGGTCCGGAAGATATATAGAGAATGCCACCATCTTTTCAGGATGTTCATCATTGACAGGAATCTATCCTTATGAAATTAAGATGTTATCGTCCACTATTTCTAGAATTTATGACAACATATTTTAATAAATTAAAATTTCAAAACAAACGACGTAGTTGAAAAACTAAAAAAATGGAATCTAGTGGTTGAAGGTCCACGTGATTTGTCGAAACACATGAACCCAGATGATTTGCTTCTAGAATAACAAAGCCAATAGCATGCAATATGATACTCAGGCATGAAAATGGAATTCTATTTAATGTTGATCTGATGGGAAATAAGAAATAGGAAGGCCATAAGGCAGCTCCTACATCTGCGTGATGGAAGTTTGAAACAAACAGTAAACAGTAACTCATGACTAAAGAAAAGATAAAGTGACAGTGTCAGTAATATAACTTGCTAATGTGTTTTGATGCAATATCACATCTTATCCCCTTGTTACTATATACTAAGGTAAAGTCCCAGAAGCCTCCTGCACTTACTGTTAGTTGTCAATTCAAACAGTATGGCTGCATCAGAAAATATTCAAGCATCCCTAAGATCCTAAAACATTAGAGACTTGGAGGGAAAATTCTAAGATGAAGTTCTGCATTCCTAACTACAGTTTTAAAAGAATGATAATAAGAGAATACAAGGGCCATAGAAGGGTATGCATCCAGGAAAATTGTCCCATCTTATTTTTCTTTTAGTTGAAGGGAGTTGCATCATCAGTGCTATATATTTTCTATGATGTTACTTAAAATCAAATAGCACTAGCTTTCTGCAGAAGTTAAAATGGACACCGTTTTTCTTCTATATGCATCCATAATCTCACTAAAACTCTACAACACTCAGAAATAACGAGGAACAGAAAAAAATGTATAGAGGAAAACTATACATGAAGGTTAGTAATTTTTATAAAGTTTTCATACCATCATCAAATAAAAATGAGCATGGGAAACTCAAGGAGAAGGAGAGGGACTATAAGGAAAGCAATTCAAGGATGCAAAATCCATTACCTGCTAAGTTATAGCACTCTTCACTACTAGCAACTCCAGAAGGATTGCAGAGCTCATGAATTTTATCCTCATCACCAACTCTAATTGAAAGAAGCATTTCATAGTAACCTATTCTGGAGTAAGATTCAGGATTCGCATCTTTTATTAGTTCACTAAAAATTTGGAACTCTTCTACCATTTTCATGTCAATCATATACTCAAAAAATGGGCCAAAACTCGCCTCTTCGATTGGAAAACCACTTTCTCTCATGGAAACAAATAGTTGATAAATTTTTCCAATCTGGACAGATGAAGCTTCACCATTACTTTGTCTTGCCTTAACTATGCAATGTTTAATTAAAGCATTGTAATCTTTGATACCTGTTTCTCTCCCAATTCTACCAAAAACCTCAAGAGTATAGTCGGGACCGAACTTGGTTGCACAATTTCTCATTAGCTTAGTAAACTTATAAGACTCTGTACCCTTGAATAGAAACTTCTGCTTTCTATTTCGTGATAACTCCTTCCGCTGCTGTGCGTCGAAAATCTCCCCATTTGCAAACCATGATGAATCTAAAATATTCTTTGGTGTAAGTGAGGCCATCATGTCGCTGCTACCTGAAAAAAAATAAAGAATTCCACAGAAATGGTTATATAGGTGCATATATTTATATATGAGTACAGGAAATCCCCAATATATGTGTGTGTCTGTTCGCACAGATTAAAAAAGTTGCAGGAAAAAATAATTTTTAAGCCATCATTAAAGTTATTGTGACCAATGTCATCATTGCGTCAAGTCATCAACCCTCTTCTGACTCTATGGCTTGAGACTTATTGATGTAGGACAATTTGAAGGTCAAATCCAAATTTGGTTGAAGAGTACTCATTCGGTGGAAAGCCTAGTTAGGATAGATAAGTTTGTTAGGATATTATTGATTAGGTTTAAATTTTAAAGTCGACTTTCTATCTGCATTTAAATTCTAACAAGATAGGACAAGTTGGAACTCAAAATTGTAGATAGAAGTTCATTTGTATTTGGAATTTTAGTAGAGATATGATTTTATGCCCTATAATATGGGTTATACTTATACCTTTCATCGTATTTAGAGACTGATAAAGTTATGAAGAAATATGAATACAAAATAGAGTTGAAGCATATCTTGCATGATTTTTTTTTTCAGCATGAAGCCATCTATCCTTGGTGTGAAGCCAAAAGTGTTAAGCATATGTGTGAACGGATTAACTAACAAAGTGAATCCAATCTAAAACCAATTTTATCTTGTTCTTTATCTTCCTTTCATTGGTCTTGTATTCAACAAAAAATAAAAAAGCAAAAGTAATTGCTTACATGTACTATTCACCTGCGCATTATTCACCTAGATTACTGTTTTCCTGTTACTATTCACCAGCATCTTTGTTCATCTCAGATAAATTCAACGGAGGTCTCAGATTAGATCAAATCAAAGCTCATCTGTTCAGTTCTGCATCACTTATAGCCCTCAATCTAGATGTTCCTTCTCTAAGTTGAGTGTTTGAGGGCTTAATAAAAAAAAGTATTCATTTGAGCATTTCAGTTCATGCTTCCTTATTATCTTATTTACTTAAGAATATTTGTTCAAATGCCTTCATAAGCTTCAAGTTTTCATATTTCCTATTCAACAGTGATGCAGATCCATATTGCAAATAGTAAATTGCAGAAGCAGTGTAAAGAGCGTGATAGCTTGTCAATGTCTCCAAATTCACATTGTAAACACAATACAGAACCAACGTCATGAAAGCATACCTCTTGGAGAAGAACATTGCTCCTCGGCTGATTCTGCTTCAGAACTATTTGCTGTAACAAAATTAAATAAATAAAATAACCACACTCTGATGGGACAGGCTGAGGATCATTATGATTATACAATTAAATAATGAAAAGGAGTTTCCAAGTAAATAATAACTAAACATCAAAGCAATGCAGTATTATATGTATAATGAACTATCCAAGGAACTACAAAGGTTAAAGATATAGGAATACTTCAGCTTGAAAATAAATTACCCAGAATCAAATGCCTAAAGTATTTTTAATATTCACATTCAGTCACCCTAAAATAAAGACAAAAGCAGAAATCCTTTGTGTAAGCGAGCGTGAATGGACGAATGAGAATGTGTACGTGTGTTTATGTGTGAGAGTTCGCGCATATATTTGTGGAACCAGAATCACTGGAGAGAGAAAAAAGCACTCCTGAATGGCAAAACCAAAGCTGCATTTATGATCTCTTCAGCCCCAAAAAGGAAGAAAATGAAGGTTCTGACAAGTGAAAAAGAAAATGAACATAAAAGGCGAATTAAAATTTTAATTAGTGTAGTATTGTGAAAAATGTTAATTTAGTTGTAATTCTTCAATGCAGAGAATTAATGACAGCAAAATATCAATTTTTTCAAACGAATTTGAGAAAGTTATAAATAACAATAATTAGATAAAACTAAAAATATTCAATCTTAGAATATAGTGAAAATAGAACAACCAAGACCAGAATGAAAAACATCCAAGGTCACCACAATAAAGTCAAATTTCATTGTTGAAATGAATCTAACAAAACATGCAGTAAAAAACTCATGTTTCTCATCAAAAAGTCAAGGAATATACTAGCCTAATGGTACCCAATCAGAAATTCATCCTATTATAAATAAATAAGGAACCATGACCAAAGTTTAAAACTACAGCACTAATTCATTTGCAACTTAAAATTTTTAGCTTGGATATCATCTTTTCAGAAGCTTAATTAACAGCTAGGACACATAAACTCCTAGGCTGAGATTATTGAGGAAAAAAAGGAATTTCAGTAACAGCTCGTTCAATAGAACATTCAGAAGCAACTTTCCAAACAAGAAAGGGGGAATGTGAGACAGGTGGAGTGTTGCAAGTGGTGTTGCAAGTCATTGTGGCACCTCGAAAGGAGGGAAACTGAAAATACATATAAACCCATCTTCCGAAATGTACATCAAATAAATTGGAAAAAGGAAACATGTATATCCTTCATAATTATGTCTATAAATAACAATCAAAGCACTCTACTATATAAGCATTCTCATAAGAAACATTATTTTGATAGTTGATTGCTAAAATAGACACAACTGACTTCCAAAGATACTTCTCTTCCTAAGATAAAACATGTTGGTCCTGGATTTGCATTTATGCAAGTCATGGTCTATTAAGACCCAAAACCTGAAAACCCTTCATAGAACGGTTGGAAGTAGTATCCCAACTGGCCAGTGGCCACAAGCCCAGTCTTTACCAGGAGTGGACAGGGACTTGGACCCAATCCGATTCCAGCTCTGGTGGACTAAAGAAATTTATTCTGTTCATGAATGTTCTAGTGAGTCACTAATACTTATCCAAGTTTGTTCTACAAGCTTCCCAAAAGCTGCAAGCCTACAGTTTAACTTGTAATGCAAGTATGTATAGATGCGGCATTTGAACTTTTTGATTGGGTGTGCAAACATAGTATGGGCTCATGAAACACAAAATTACCTCCAAGAATGTTTTGTATCTGTGCTAACACTTCTGCTTGAGGATCTTCTTCTGCAAAAGAAAAAAAATTATAAAGTAAACAAAATAATCAGCAGTTATATGGGGAAAATTAATGCTCAATGTGATTAAATTAATCTAAAGTAATGAATACCTGTACTGAAAACATTTGCCATTTATATATCTATTTGTTAATCACCCGAAGAGTGCATAGTAATCCCTCAGTTTGCAAGAACTAGTCAAGCTCGAAGTAATCAAAAAGTAATCATCATGAAGAATGAATTATGCAACTAAGATTTTTCTTTCCAAAATCCATTCCCCAAAAGATAAGCTACAGTGCCTATCTCTAAGAATTTAATCCTAAGATTTTTCTTTCCAAAATCCATTCCCCAAAAGATAAGCTACAGTGCCTATCTCTAAGAATTTAATCAAATAGGTAGCATGCACTGCACAAAAAACCCAAAAGATAAGCTACAGTGCCTATCTCTAAGAATTTAATCAAATAGGTAGCATGCACTGCACAAAAAATAAAAAATAAAAAAAATAAAGAATCACAACTTCTCCCTGAAACATTAAAATTAGTATCAGAAGCAGAAAATCTTCTAATTATGCAAGTATAGCTAAAACTGGTTTCCATAATTTTTCTCCCAGAAAAGTATATTAGACGTATCTCTTTAAGTAATTTAATCAAACAGGAAGAGTGCACCATCAAAATGACAACTTGGACCACATAACAACACAATAATTAGTACCAATAGCAGAAAATTAGCTGGACTATGAAAGTAACACTAAAACTTCCTTCCATAATTATCTCCCCGAAAAATATATCGTATATCTCTTTAAGGAATTTAATCAAACATGTAGTGTGTCCTGTTAAAATCAAAATTTTGCCCCAGAAAAACGCTAAAAATCAGTACCAGGAGCTGAAAATTCGCTAGATTTCTTCTTGGACGCCGATTTCTTCAACCTCGACAGCACTTGAGACGATACGTCGATAAGCGGCTTCTTCTTCTTCTCCTTCTTCGAATTCTTTACGCTCGAAGAGGAAGCGGCGACGTAGGGGTCCTTCAATATCTTCTTCTCCGTCGCGATGATCCGCCGCGCCGCCGCCGCGCCTGAGAGGTTTCTCTGATCGATGCGCTTCTATACGGCGCGGCGGCGGCGGTGAAAGCGAACAATTTGGAGAGGTTCTTGCGCATTGGCAGCGAGCGAGAACTTGATTGAGCTCGCTCGAGATTCGAGGGTTTTCGTTGTGTTTCGAATTTAGAAATCGGAGGAAATTTTGGGAAGAGGAAAATCGTGAAGGCCGTAGGAGGTGTGAGCGTCGAGTGGGGCTTCGAGCCGCTTGTGAAATTTACAGATTATATTTATTTATTTATTTCCCTATTATTGTTATTATTACCACGAAAAATTCTTCAAACGCTCAAAATATGAGATCAAATGAGAAATGTGAGCTATCCCCCTGCTATTGCATAATGAGCTGATCATCATTATGCAATAGGAGCTGATCCTCTTATTATGCAATAGGTATCCCCCTCCTATTGCATAATGAGATGTCCATCTCGTTATGCAATATGAGTAGAACACCTCACATGTCCCCATTGGTCCCTGTTGGTCTCATATTTTAGATCCATGTTTAATGATGGTCAGCTTATTATGCAATAGAAGGGAGACGCCTCACATGTTCTCCATGTTGGTTTCATATTTTGAATTCATGTAGCAAAGCTCCATTACCCCCACAATTTAC